CGCCTCATCAGCTGGAGGAGCAGCTCACTGTCAGTGAACGCCTCATCGGCTGGAGGAGCAGCTCACTGTCAGTGAACGCCTCATCAGCTGGAGGTACAGGAGTAGCTCACTGTCTCTGAACGCCTCATCAGCTGGAGGAGCAGGAGTAACTCCTCCTGTTGACAACCCGTTCAACTCTTGGTCCACTTTTTGTTTTAAGAACCAAAGAGGAGTTTGTTGTGCTGCCAGCAGGGGGCAGCAGCTGACTGCTGCTCCTGGCTGCTCCTCGGCTGCTCCTCGGCTGCTCCTCGGCTGCTCCTCGGCTCACTGACGTGATGCGACATGTGATGTTGCAGCTGCTGTGACAGTCCAACAGGAAGTTGTGCAGCATTTAAACCGGGCCTGTCGGACTCTGATTCAGGGTTTCCACACTGGGCCATGAAGAACCGCAGCACAACTTGTTGAGACTCTGCAGCTGCTCGGATTATTTCAGGCCTGACCCACGGCCATATTTGGACCTGGGGGCCGTGGGGGTGGGGGGCTTTTATTTCTCCTGTAAACGGGTCCAGTTCTGGTTACAAACCAGGTCAGATTCTCAGTTCTTAAAAAAACAAATGGTCCAGAACTCTTCAAGATGTTCCAGACTGTCAGCTGAGTGACGCTGCTGGACTCCTCACAGATTCATCCGCCTCTGAAAGTAGTCCCTGCCTGTTCTTACATTTACAGACACGGTTCACTTGAATCCGAAGCGTTCGAACGTTCGTCAGTTTATCATTCGACCTGCAGATGTTACATTTTATTTTTTAAAGGAAACAGAACCAAACTGGACTTTAGCGGTACCAGAAACACCGACCGCTCCGAGGAAAAGTCTCCATGTTTTATTCAGATTTTTGTGGATCGTTGGAGATTCTGGTTTGGCTCCTGGTTCTGAGCAGCGGTGTACAGAGGCCCGTTAGTTCTGGTTTTGGCTGCAGCCGGGTCAGATAGTGACCCGTCTATATTTGCACGTTTGGTGTGTGCGGTCCTGCTGCCAGGGCGTGTTTGAGCCGTGTAAAAATAGCAGCTGGAACAGGAGTGCAACACAAATAAAGCCGAGCTGCCAGAGAGTCCCTGAATGCATCACGAGGCAGATATTTACAACATGCACATGTGCACGGCGTCACATGATGGCGGTGACCTCACAGATAAATTTACCTCTGCAGGCGATGAAGCTCCCTGATGGATTCATTGCAGAAGCTGGGCCTTGTTGGCTCTCTGTTAGCAAAATATCTCATGGTGGAAGTCGAAGCACTCGTTGGACGGACATTTACAACCGTCCGCCCAATTCAAGATGGCCGCCACAGCTGTCTGACCTCATGACCTCACTTGCAACCTTTTCACGTTTGAACCAAACGGTCGTGTAATGGAGCGACGTGCACGACTTCATGGAGTTCTGCTTCCCTCAGATCAGCCACTGTTCCTCCTACTGTTGTACAAGCAGAGACACCCCCCCCCCGCGTCTGAGGGAACTATCACCTGGTTCTGCTGCTCGTCCTCGCCTGCTCCACATGAAGGTGATGTCACAGGAGGACCTGTGGAGACCACGGACCTCAGGGGTCCTGCGTCCTCCAGTCCCTTGAGAGGACGAGTGGACCGTCCACCTGCACCGCAGCGTCCACAGTTGGTCAGCAGAGTGATGATGTGTGTGTGTGTGTGCTGCAGGCTGCTGCGGCGCCTGGCCACCCTGCTCTCCCAGCAGGCCACGCTCATGGCCTCCAATGAAGCCTTCAAGAAGCAGGCGGAGGGCGCCAACACTGCTGCCAAGAAGTTCATGGAGGAGAAGGAGCTGCTGCAGGAGGTGACACACACACACACACACACACATGTTCTTGTTCATGTAATTTTTGGGGACTTTGCATTGACTTCTATTCATTTTCTGCAGCCTGACCCGTTCCCTAATCCTAACCATTACTAGTACTAGACATGTACTAGTAATGGTACTAGTAATGGTAAGCTAGTAGAGTCCAGTCAACGCCTCCCCCCTCTACGAGAAGGTCTGATCTGAGTAACAGGACCTTCTTCAGAACCAGAAATGTCTGTGGTTCTCTGTAGGACTTCATTAGTCTCTCTCCTGATTCTGGAGAACTTATGGCCCACTCTTCTTTACATCTGTCTTTTTCTGATGTCTCTTGGTCTCTCTGGTCTCTTGTCTTTCTGGTCTCTCTGGTCTCTTTTGTCTCTCTGGTCTCTCTGTCTCTCTGGTCTCTTGGTCTCTCTGGTCTCTTTGTCTCTCTGGTCTCTTGGTCTCTCTGGTCTCTTTGTTTCTCTGGTCTCATGTCTCTCTGGTCTCATGTCTCTCTGGTCTCTTGGTCTCTCTGGTCTCTTTGTCTCTCTGGTCTCTTTGTCTCTCTGGTCTCATGTCTCTCTGGTCTCATGTCTTTCTGGTCTCTTGTCTCTCTGGTCTCTTGTCTCTCTGGTCTCTTGTCTCTCTGGTCTCTTGTCTCTCTGGTCTCTGTGGTCTCTTGGTCTCTGTGGTCTCTTGGTCTCTCTAGTCTCTTGGTCTCTCTAGTCTCTTGTTCTCTCTGGTCTCTTTGTCTCTGGTCTCTCTGGTCTCTTTGTCTCTCTTGTCTCTTGTCTCTCTTGTCTCTCTGGTCTCTTGTTCTCTCTGGTCTCTCTGGTCTCTTGGTCTCTCTGGTCTCATGTCTCTCTGGTCTCTTGTCTCTCTGGTCTCTTGTCCCAACCTGGTGCTCGTGGAGCTGTCGGCGGGTGTGACCTACGGGCACCACGCAGAAAAAGAGAGACTAGATTATGGCTCCCTACCATACAGCCATCAATGCCATCTTGATTAGATGATATTGCCGCTACATAAACTTAAAGCGTCAAAGGAGAGCGACCCTTACCAAGTAGAGACTGGAGAAACTCCAGAATGGTGGGTACTGTACAGGAGACTGGGTCCTCGTTGTGATCAGAACACCATTGGGAAAACAGACGCCACCTGTTTTCATACTGCTGACGAGTAGAGGGTGCCCTGGCGCCCAGGATGGTGCGTCTGACGGGGCTCAAAACTCCATTCAGCTGCTGTCCTAGCCTTGCAGTGGCCACACCCACAGCCGAAGACGTTGAGGATTGGGGTGCCATATCAGTCCCCCCAACTGAGACAGCAAGTCCATCCTGGTCGGAAGACACCATGGGACACCCTGACATAGACTTTGTAGCAGTGGGAACCATGGTCACGCTGGCCAATACGGAGCCACCAGCAGCATCCTGTGGCCCTCCTCGAGGACTCTCTGAAGGGTTGGCCAAATTAGAGAAAGGGGTGGACAGGCATATAGAAGGACCCTTAGCCAAGGAAGAGCCAATGCGTCCTGGCCTAGCGCACCCGACGCCCCCGTAAGAGTACCATAGGGGACACAAAGTCGACTCTTTCGTCGCAAACAGGTCTATCTCTGCCTGACCAAAACGGTCCCAGATCATCAGCACTATGTCGCTGTGGAGGGACCACTCTCCTGGAGGGGACCCTTGGCGGGAGAGAAGATCTGTGACCTGATTGTGTCGCCCTGGTAAGTACGCTGCCCGCAAGGTGGACAGGCGAGGAGAGGCCCATTCCAAGAGCTCTCTGGACACTCTCAGAAGTTGTGCTGACCTGGTTGCCCCCCTGATGGTTGATGTGGTAGACAACAGAGGTGTTGTCTGACCGAACAAGAACATGCCTCCTTTCCAGGTGAGGCAGGAAGTGCCTGAGTGCCAAGTGCACTGCACGCAGCTCCAGCACATTTATATGCTTGGAGTGGTCCCTTTGATGACCCCAGCGGCCCTGAACCGCCCGAATGGGAGTACCCGGAACTGCCAGTGGTGACCCCGATAGGCAAACCTGAGAAAGCAGTGATGTTCTGCCGCAATAGGCACATGAAAATACACATCCTTCAGGTCTATAGATGATTCCTCCCTCGTGATGGCTTGAAGGACTTCTGCTGTCGTGAGCATGTGGAAGAGCAGCTCTCTTGGGTACTGATTGAGTCCCCTCAGGTCTAAAATGGGACGAAACCCGCCTGTCCTCTTTTGCACGAGGAAGTAAGTCGAGTAATAGCCCCTGGGTTGTTGCAGAGGGTCCACTGCCTCTATTGTGCCCTTGGCCAGGAGGGCGGAAAGTTCCTGGTCTAGTGCTCGAGCTTTCACCGGGTCGGCGTTTACAGTCATTTCGACCCGGCATGAGATATGAGGCCGCCGTCGGAACTGTAGCTAGTAACCATGGGTCAGAGTGGCAACCACCCATGGGTCCACGGCGTGAGCAGCCCAGTAACTGAGCTGCTGGTGGGAGAAATATCCGATGGTCAGCCTGATGGCATCACCATCTCCCTCTACGGCCCCTAGGGGCCGTAGGGGGGCGGCAGCCAGAGTCCCTGGTCCGAGCCTGCCCGCTGGTAGGTGGACCGACCCATGAAAGCTCCTGCTGGGCCTTTGCTGAACCGCATGAGGGTAAAGACCACCCAGCTAATTCAGCGGAGAGCTGCTCCACCCTTGTGGAGAGGCCCCTATCAGACCTGGCTCGCTTCTTCCCAGGAGGGGCCACAGAGACTGCGGCCTCAGTCCGGCGCTTCGAGCGCCTAGGTGGAGCCTCCAGCCCAGAAGGCGGGAGGTCATCGCCGAGTTTGGTGCGAAACTGGGCCAGCCGGGCCACCCTCACAGCACGCGACATGAAGCTGCAATTCATGCAGGGGTTCTCTGACAGGGCCTCCACCAGATGGTCATGTCCAAGGCAGGTAGGACACAGGTCGTGACCGTCATCTGTCTGGAGCATGGCTCCACAGACTGTACAGCAGAGAGAGCTGTCCATGCTCCTTACCCAGCTATGTCCAAGATATAGGACGAAAAAATTACAGCAAGAAACTCAGAAAGGTTAACACCGCTAGCTCAGCTGGTAAAGAGGACAATTGGGAGAGGGGGCGCAAACGCTTGCCTTCACCAATTAAAACTAGGCCAAAACTCAGAGAGGCTAGCACCGCTAGTTTAGCTGGTAAGAGAAGACAATTGGGAGAGAGGGCGAGAACGCTCGCCTTCACCAATGAAAACAAGGCCAGGAACTCAGCTGGCTATGTAATAAGCAAACTTCGGAGAATAGTTCAACCGACCACGCGGTTGGAGGCCTCCAGTAAACGGGAGCGGAGCGAACGCTACCGCTAACCATCGGCGAAATATAAGGAAAAACACTACTCACCGGTGTTGCATCACACACATAGTAGTCATAAACAATGTCAGAGCACAGTCCAGCCGACCATTTGGTTGGAGGCCTCCCAACAAGCGGGAGCAGAGCGAACGCTACCGCTAACCATCGGCGAAATATAAGGAAAAACACTACTCACCGGTGTTGAATCACAGACATAGTAGTCAGACGCTGTAAATTGGGACAGGCGGAACTGCCATAGTTCCCAACGAATCAGCAGAAAATACCTTTGAACAGGGTTAAACCGTCGCAGCCCTAGGAGGGCGAACACGCTACACCCACAGATGGGCAGTCGGGCTTCTGACGACGGTAAAAAGTTCAGAGAAGGTCCAAAGGGCTGAAGCCATGAATTGAACCGCGCGTGAGAAGAAAAAGGAGCAGAGCTGCGGATGACGTCGGGCTATATAGCCTCTGATTGGTCATCCGTGTCACACCTGTGACTCCGTTGGTATTATTACTCGAACAGCGAAAATGGCGCTCTACTAACGTTAAGTAATTTTACTTATCTTGGAAAGATAGTCTGCTAACATATAAAAAAGCTCTCCGTAAAGCTAGAACTTTATATTATTCATCTTTAATTGATGAGAATACAAATAACCCTAGGTTTCTTTTCAGTACCACAGCTAGTCTAATGAAAACTCCAATCTCTGTTGAACCATGTGTCCCTACAACTATAAGCAGTGATGACTTCGTGAGATTCTTTATAAATAAAATTGTTTCAATTAGGGAGAAAAATCAAGCTTTTTTTTTTTTGAGCTCTGAATTGTCTAAAATAATAGCTTCATCCCAACCAGACTGTTTAAAGAGGTGTTTCCATTAATTAATAACCACGTGTTGATCTGCCAACAATCAGTCTCTAGGTTTGTCACCTTTTTCATCCCTTCTGAGTTTGCAGGTATGGTTAGCGTTCCATGACCTCCACGTGACTCGAGCCACGTAAATGCAGTCCTTCACTGAGCCCTCTGAAGGCCCTGACCGGACCTGTTCACCCTGATTTATTGTTTTATACACTACTCTTATTTCAACTGCATTTTAAATGTAGTTTATTGTTATTAATGTTTACCGTTATCGTTGTCTATACGTTCTGTGTGGAACAGGTCTCCCTTGTAAATGAGTCCCTAAGGCTCAATGAGACCAACCTGTAGAAATAAAGGTTGAATGAAAAATAATGTTCAGGACCACAAAGGTTCTGTGGACCCTCTGGAAGACGCTAACGCGCCGTTTGTCTGCAGAAACTGCACGAGGCCGGGATCGAGGTGCCAGAGGGCGGGAAACCAGGAGCTGGACCCCAGGAGGAGAACAAGACTCTGAAAGAGGAGCTGAAGACTTTGAAGAAGGAGCTGGACAACACCAAGAAAGGTGAGAAGGATCTGAGGATGGGACCGGACCCCCTGAGCCCATCTGAGGCTCACCTGCTGGTTTCTGTTGCAGCCCTGCAGAAGTCCGACAGCGACGTCTGCGCCATGAAGAAGCAGGCCGAGAACCTGACACTGGAGTACGACCGCCTGCTGGAGGAGCACAGCAAGCTGCTGGTAGGAGGGGGGGGGCACACACGTGGGTGGGGGGGACACTGCCGGGGCCTCCGGTCCAGACCTGTTGAACTCTCACATAAAGCAGACGGGCTCCAGGAGCTCACCATCTGAACGCATATTTCAGGGCCCTGCTCAGTGTGGGAACTTTGAGTTCTCCGTTTGTTTGTTTTTTATTTTCTGTTTGAGCAGATCGTCTTGAAAGCAGCTCATTTTTTAAATAATTTTTGAAATAAGCCAAATAATAATTTTTTTTATACACTGATTGTAAAAAGTCCAGCCTCTGAAGAAAATGAACAGAACTTTATTTTTAGAATAAATGAGTTTTTAGTCCCTTCTTTGTCTGCAGGCGAGCAGTGACAAGAAATCTGACTGAGGATGAAGACCGTCGGCTCATCTTCATCACGGCCTCTTCATCATCCCACTCTGAAACATGTCTGCGCTGTGATTGGCTGATCGAGTCTGCCTGTCAAACTGTTTACGTTTCTGTAACTGTTTGTTTGTCTTGCTCTGTTTGTGTTTTTCTGTAAACGGACTTTAACTCTTCGGTAACTTTGAGCAGATATTTCCTGTTTCTGCAGCGCATCACTTCCTGTTCCAATAGGAAGTGATGCGCTTCATTCCAAAATAAAAGTATCTGACACTTTGCACGACCGTTTGAGGCATCCTGAAGTCTGAACCGACGCTTCTTGTAGGTTTAGTGGACCTGAATGTTTGGATCAGAACCAGACTGGACTTGGTTCTGGATCGGTTCTGGACTTTGGAGCTGTTTAAGTATTTTTGTTGATCAGACTTTATTTAAATCAGAATAAAACGGTTGATCCAGATGAAGTTGCAGTTTTTGTTTTTCCACACTTTAGTCCAGATTTGTTGTTTTCAGCTGCTCCTCTTGCTCCACCTCCTCCTCTTCCTCCTGCTCCTCCTCTGTCTGAGGCTGGCAGCTGCTGGTCTGAGGAGCAACAGAATCCGGTTTGAGCCGCTCTGCTGGGTCTCAGTTTTCACAGCTGACCTGAACTCCTCGTTCCTGCCAGAACCGCCGACCTGAACTTTTCAGATCTCTGGTATTTCAGTCTGCAGCTGGCAGGAGGACGGGTCTCAGTCCTGGTTCTGATTGTTGCTCCTCAGTTTAGTTCTGTTGGAGGATGGGAGTCTGCAGGTCCACGAGTCCAAACCAAGTCAACGTTTGTGCCCAAACCGGCCCCAGCAGGGTCGTCTGGGATCTGTCCGTCATCACAGCCGTCTTTTTCCTCGTGTCCTCTTTGGGGTTCTGGGCTCAGGTTGGGCAGGTGTCTGGTCCAGGAGGAGAACCCAGACCTCCCTCTCCCCTGAGGCCACTCGAGGTCCTTCTGGGGGTTCTCGAGGTGTCCCAGACCTGGGAGGATGT